TCTCTCTCTCTCTCTCTCTCTCTCTCTCTCTCTCTCTCTCTCTCTCTATCTTATTCTTCCTCTCCACCCTGGTTGTTGTCCACACTGCGTCTCCTCTCTTAAATTAGCCCAGTCAAGTGTTTCATTGTTTGTTGCTTGAGTGAAGAGACGTCAGTCAGAGAGACGTGACTCTCCCACACAGATGCCGCCACACACTGCAATCTCTTTTCAACTGGCAGGATTGTAGACGTTGGTGAAATGAAGATGGGCGATGTTGCGTCTTATCGCTGTCAGATGCTCAGTGTTAAACATACTCTAATCTCAGATCATCCTGTTTCCATTTACGACATGTTGGCTTGAATCTTTTTTTTGGAGCATTTTAAAATGGAAGGGACACCTTGCCTTTCAGGATGCAGGACACCACACAAACCCTGATTCCCGCTTGATGACGGTTTCGTCCTGCACACAACTTTGGCACTTGCTATCGTGAGCAATCATGATGAAGCATTGCAGTGAACTACATCGTTTAGCTTTGAGATGTCCCATTACTGCTTAGAGACAGTAATGGGACAGATAGTTACATGCAGTCAGTGGAAGCAGGGTTTTGCAAAAGAGCTTACTTCTGCTGTACACACCATCCTTGTCGTTATGTTTCCAGTACGCATTCGTCTACCCCACAATGTGGAGGCATTCCTTGCGGCTAGATTTAGTGGACCGGTGTGCAACAAAGCATGGTGGCGGGCTGAGAGGGATGGAAGCTGGATCTACCTCCTGGCTGTTGTTACTCCTTCGCTATCCTCCATCTACAAGCACACTCCATTTGTGGTGGTGGTAAATCAGATGGGGGGGGGCTGTTACGACATATCTACAGAAACCAAGGCAGAACAACAGAGGCTGAGAAAGAAAATGACAAAAGAGCAGTAGAGGAAATTGTGGCTGAGGCAGTTGCTGCATTTGAATCCATTCAAATGGAACGACGACTACGGTTTCCTTCAGCTCTGCCGTAGCAGACGGGGAAATAGGTTGCAAGATTGTTTTAACATTTCATCTTGTATTGTGTCTTGAAATTGTGTTTTCAAAACAAGCGCTAAGATCTATTGGGCAAGAATAACACCTAGAATATTTTGAGTCCCAAAGGCTGACATAACAAGACACTGCCTGCTCTCTGGACAATTCCAATGTTTTCAGTGATCTCAGCCAATTTTCACTTGTTTCAACATTAAGAGGTGTGAGAACTCATTACATGAGCAACTTACTTCTTTTCATTTTTTTCCAGTCTAGAGTCTTTACACCCTCATTGATTGGGAAACGGAGTCAGTGTGTGTGAAAACATCAACAATTATCGAGGCAGATGGCGCAAAAAGTGCGATTAATGAGTAAAGTTAAATAATGGAGAAGAATATGTATCAAAAGAAGAAAAGCATTTTTTTTAAATATCTGTTTTGTTGTGGTATAAATCTAGGTATCACAGGTAGCGACTATATCAACGCCAACTACATCGATGGCTACAGGAAGCAGAACGCCTACATCGCCACCCAGGGTCCATTACCAGAGACGTTCGGGGACTTCTGGAGGATGGTGTGGGAACAGAGAGCAGCCACTGTGGTTATGATGACCAGGCTGGAGGAGAAGTCACGGGTAAGTCCGCTCAACACATTTTTTGAGGGATGTTACTTTTTAATGATCCCCTGGACCTGCAGTGGCCTCACAAACCACTTTAGAATTGTTTTCTTTTAAATAAACCTCAAAAGGAAATCACTGTTTCGCAAGACAAAAGCTTTACAGTTATTTCCCAGTTTCACATCTGAACGTTATCGGTAAGTAATCGGACTTCATTTTCTTGAGATGGATTGCTTTCAGAGAAGAGTAGACATTTGAAAAGGGTGGTGAAAGCAGCAGGGGGGAGGGGGATGAAATGTAGTTAACTCAAAGATGGTCTACCTGTTCACATCTGATAAGGTAGGCTGCTTATCCACTGGGACAATCTTTGCTATCGTTTCTCTTCTTATTTGCAGTGCAGACGACAAGCTGTTGCTTGTTCCCTGCAGTACTGCCAGCTTAGCAAGTTTTAGTGCTCAGAGTGCACAGTGCAGGAAGCTAAAATAAAATGTTCTGCAACCGAGTACCACATAGTTTTTACTGTACTTGTGACCAGTACCTCCCACAACCATCTGTTGATAATGGAAGTTAGAGGAAAAAGTGCATGAAGAGCAGAGTAACTTAGGAATAAGATGTCATGGTATGATCACACTAGTCCACTTTATTTAGTATTTGGGTTTTCCTTTCACACGTTTACGTCCATGGGAAGCGGCCACAAGGTGTGCAGGAAGTGTAGAGTATTCTTTAGAAGGCTCAGTCTGGCGTCCTCGAGATGGAAAGGAACATTTTTAAACAGTCCAACTTTTTATATGTGCCTTTGATACAAACGCTTTTTTTAGCCAACTAACTCCAGCAAAGAAGAGAGACGGATTCAAAGTAAGAAGGCAACAGCAGCACTTTATAACCAAACTAACTATCAGATAAAAAATGGAAAATGTATTAGAAACATTGGCAGGTGGCATAGGGACTCTGTCAAACTCTTAAGAGACGGTGCTTTCTACAGTTTGATATCAGTTCTGTCTGTTTGCCCCTAGTGACAGCTAGTCATTATGTAAACAAAGTGCCTCTCTTATGAGCATTTTTCTAAATTACGAGATAATAATGCAGGTGAGCGCTACAGAAAAGTGGTGTGAGTGCACCCTTACATAGGACTGATCGACAAAGATTGTATTCTTTGCTGTCTAGGAATGGACTACTCTAAATGTTAAAAAGCCAACTGTGATGTTCCATCCTGTCAACTCAAACCTGTTTCAACATCAGGCTCACTCACCCCAGGTGTCTCCGCTCATTTTCCCTCCCTCTATCGCCTTTCAATTGTTTTCCTAGCCTCCATTCTGGCATGTGCGTTCCACTCCTGTCAAACGTGATCAGGATTAGCGGGCGGTAGCACTTGAGTGTCAGATTGAGCAAGAAGTGGTAGAGAAAGCTGGAGAGCAGCGCATCTCCCTCACTAGCTGTCACTTCTCATCTGAGGTTCGCCAGCGCGTCACACACCATATTGAATGAATTTTTATTAAGTAAACTGACAGAGGATGGATGGGGGGAAGCAGGTGTTGTCTTTTTTAGATATACTGTAGAACCGCTGGACAAAAAAGTCAAAATGAAACATTCATCTAGGATGTGATAGTGTTACTCCTACTAAAGCATTTACAAGAATAAGAGTTATTTTATATGAGTATCTGAAATGACAACAATTTATTTACTTTTTTTGCTGTAGATGTCGAGAAAGACACATGTAGGATTGATGGTGAAATTAAGCTGTAAGAATAGAGTTGCTGTGACAGTCTGGTCACGTGTTCAGTCTGCTGAGTGCCGTTTCTCAGATTTGAAATAGAGTGAAGCTATCCTGGTGTTTCTGCCAACACCGCGTGCAGTTTAATCCACAGGAGGACTTGCATTATGCGCGCGAGTGCATGTTATTATGTCAGACCGATCAAGGTTTAAATTTTTCTCTACCCCTCCTGTCATGTGCACGATGTTTTCCAGAAGTGGAAACTCCATTTAATAGAACGTGATATAAATATGTCTCTCTCTCTCTCTCTTACTTCCAGATTAAGTGTGACCAGTACTGGCCCAGTCGCGCCACAGAAACCTATGGTATGACCCAAGTGACCCTGTTGGACACCATAGAATTGGCCACTTTCTGTGTCCGCACTTTCTCCTTGCACAAGGTAGGATGATTTATCGCTCTTTCTCCCACACACATATGGTATGTACATTACCTCTGTCTTCTCTTTGCTCTTTCGCAGTAATACTGCAACAAACCAGAAATGACACAAGGAGAATTCTGCGGACAGTAGGCTACTTCAGCATGTCTAAGCAAATACAATAGGGACATTATATTTACTATCAAGTTGGATAACCATGAATAAAAATATCCTTTTTAATGTCTGTCCAGTATACAGAGGGCTGATTAATGGGACACACCTTGTAAAAATGACACAAAGAGTGCATAGGCAAAAAAAAATGATGGCATGAACCGTGTGCTGTGTCAATTGGATGTAAAGGTATATACATATATATATATATAACCCTTTGTCCGCATTGTCCTTCCAGTCCACCCCTTTTTACCTTGTTCAGTGCTCTCGCTGCTCAATAGATCATCTGTTTATGTGCATCTGCCAAATTGGAGCACTTACGTAAAGTGAGCAGAGGAGAAACTCAATATACATAATTGGCAGACTGCTCATATGCCCACAAATACATGCACACACACACACAAATTTAAACACTGAAACACACCGGCAGATACAGAGTCTGCACACAGATGGGAACCTTCTTAGAATGAAGCATTTGCACATGTAATCTCACATGCACACTCATACACAAAACATACAGCGAAGGACACACACAAAACCAAAATACATGTATTTACATACCTTTGAACCATCTGCAAAAATATGATGCCAAACACAGACACACACCTGCAGACATTAACATCACACGTTAAAGTGCATGTAGACCTTCATGCATAGACACAGAAAAAAAAAAGAAGAAGAAAGAAACACAGATGCTTTTACATGCATGACAAACTGCCTTTGGAAGGATAAGATATTTCCAAAATGTCCCCCTTAACCAGATAGCACCACACAGACGTCACAGCTGACTTTGTAGCTTTGTAGGACTGTCAGTGGAGCAATGATCACCGGGACAAACCAGCGATGGTAAAGATAGCAGCATATCAGGAGCCACGGTGCTTTAAAGCTTGCTGGTTGACATTCAGTGCCATTTACATTCTGCTGCTCTCAGCCCCCATCAAACCTACCGATGGGATTCTTTTTCTATCCATCGTCTCCCTCCCCCTTATAACTGCAGCAATTGCTGTGATTTCTCACTGAGCTGTTTTCACTTTATATCTCTGAGAAAAAAATGCTGCGTTGAATTTGTGTGAAGTATGAGGTAGCAGAAGCTGGCATCTCACACACACACACACACACACACACACACACACAGTGCATCTATAAAGCAGCCACTGTGGTACCTATCCATATGTATGCATGTCCTGCAGTGATTCCAAATTGTGTCTACTGATAAATCCTGAGTACAAAAATATATTTTTCAGTAAAACAAGTACAAACCATATCAATGCAACCTACCTCAACTACAGAAATGGGGAATGTCCAAAAGAAAATAAAGGAAAATAAGATTTGGGTCAGTTTGCTTTTAATTACCATGCTCATTTATTCAGTTATTCAGCAAGGGAAAAAAATCCCTCTGTCAGGGAAGCAGAAACACTGCATTGAAATGCAAACAGTTCCTCTATTAGAGGATCTTCTGAGAGGAAAGAGAGGAGAGGAGGACAGAAACATGCACAGGAGAATTGTATTTCTCTCTTCTTATGCTTCTCAAAAAACCTTGGTCTGGATCCCAGCTTGTATCTTTGATGCGTTGAGTTTTAAGGAGGGAGCTGATAGACGGCTGTGTGGGTGTTTGCTGCATGTATCTGTAGATGTTATGAGCGGCAGCAATGTGAGAGCAAGAAGACATACAGTAATACATGTACTGTTCAGTATAGAAATGATTGTACTTATTATATTACGATGACTCCATCTGATCAGCCCTGTATGTGTGAAAGTGTTTCCCAAAAGGAAAAAATATGCCGTCTTACTGCACCAAAATATGTATTTTAAGGTTGAAACGCTCGACCCCTTTAGATGTGGCTGTTCAAAATGTGTAGTTTTCAGGCTTCAGAGAGCACAGCAACAGTGAATCATTTGTAGCTTACAATTGTTTATTTTTTCACTGATTCAAACATGATGTTTAATTTCAAAATTGCCACACGTTTCTTCATTCCAATCATGACGCACAGGCCTGTCAAGCTTGATAGGCCTGTGCGTCACAAACCAATACAAGGGATGGGAACTTGTGCAAATGAAGACATCTGCCTGTGTAGTCATGAGAATCTGTTTTTCATGTGGAGATATTTAGGTTCAAAGAGATCTTCAGTTTGAGGTACAGTGTTTGTACTGTACAGGCCGGAAATTGTGGCTTGACTCAGACTACCACAGTCAATGGTGGAAGCACGTTCTGTGGAGGCAAAGAAAAGGCATCCGGTAGATTAGATTAGTGCACCATGCCTATAGTGGCCATAAAGCGAAACCGGCACACACACACGCATAAAGCCAGTTGGTCAGTCATTCCAAACAAACCTCCACCACTGTATCCAACCCCACCTTTCTGTTCTTTCCAGAATGGCTCGAGTGAGAAGCGGGAGGTTCGTCAATTCCAGTTCACGGCGTGGCCTGACCACGGAGTACCAGAGTATCCGACCCCCTTCCTGGCCTTCCTCCGTAGGGTGAAGACCTGCAACCCGCCTGACGCCGGACCTATCATCGCCCACTGCAGGTCAGTAGCGACTTTTTTTTGCTGTCGGGGTTGGTTGAAATACTCCAACGTGTTTTTAAACTTTTATGTAACTGGAATTTATGTGCCCAAGTGGGACAGTTTTATGTGCCCCTGTGGTTATCTTGATGCCACGAGAGTAAAAATGAAGCCCTATACACGGAAAAAGGATTTTTCATTTTTGCCATTGCCCCTAGTGTGTGTGTGTGTTTGTGTGTGTATCCATGAGTGAACGAAATGGCAGAGCTCCTGAGTGACTGCTATTATACATTGCATAACACACATTATACAAACACATGCTCTCTTTCTTACCAGATCCTCCATCTTTTCTTCTCTCCATTGGTCACATCATCTTTCTTCTTAAGGCATCCCTTTTTTTCTGTGCTTTTGTTCTCTCCACCTCTGTCTCTTCTTTCCCTCTCTCTCTCTGAAAAGCCGCACAGTAATCCCATCCCATCTTTCTTGCTTCTCCCTTTTGCTCCTTAGCCCTTCCTCCTTTTACAAGTGATATTTCTCATATGGCTTATTCAAATTGAAACCTTCCTTTTTGTCAAGATAAGAAGAAAAGTCCAAAGCGCTGCACAATAGAACTGAAATTTGACAGCTTGCTTCGCTCAGTCTCCATCACTGTCCTCTTGCTGTTGCATCTGTCATGTGTGGTTGTTTCTGTATTCCCTCTCTTGCTTTCACTATATCCTCTCCAACACAATTATTTAAAATGTAACACCACAACAAATCACCAAGCATTGCTGGACATGCATAATCTTTTAATTATTTTAACCATTTTTATATTTTAGCAGTGAGAATAACCTTAAACTACACACAGACCCCCTGAAAGGTTAAGACCCTAGAAATAAGAGCAATGGAGAAATTAAATTCTATTAAACAAATGTGTTAACACCTTGGACTTCTCTTTCTTCTCATTCCTCTCCCTCCACCTCTAGTGCGGGTGTCGGCCGGACGGGTTGCTTCATTGTCATCGACGCCATGCTCGAACGTATCAAGCACGAGAAGACGGTCGACATTTACGGCCACGTGACGCTGATGCGCTCGCAGCGGAACTACATGGTGCAGACGGAGGACCAGTACAGCTTCATTCACGACGCGCTGCTGGAGGCGGTGGCCTGCGGCAACACTGAGGTGGCCGCCCGGAGCCTCTATTCCTACATCCAGAAGCTGGCGCAGGTGGAGAGCGGCGAGCACGTCACTGGCATGGAGCTAGAGTTCAAGGTACTGGAAATGGAGCAATTTCCTTTGTAACATGATGGCTATTTTTTTTTAGGTACTTTGCTAAAACTGAACGTTTCAGCTCTAATCTCTTTCTTCTTTTCAGTTATAAACCATGTATGTGTAAAAACTCACGCCAAGAGAGTTACAAACAACCTGCAAATCAGATCAGAAATAGCAAACATGTTAGATCAGTGTCTGTAATAGCTTTTCACTCTTTGGACTTAATCATAACATGAAAGTCATCAAGTCTAGGTTTAGTGAGTTCCGTCACTTTGTCTGAAGCAACTATAAATCTTTTAAATGAGGCTGCCGGTTTTATCTTCGTAGAAGTTATTTTGAATGCAAAATCCAATTTCTTTGCCTTTCATATTTTGTGCTCTTCATCATTGTTTTCAGTGTGCTTCATAATTGGTTCCAATAATGGCTCTTTTGATTTATGTTCTTATTCTATTATACACACATTCATATTATACATTTCTTTGCATTTTGATACTTGGACAAAAGGTACAGTGGTTCTTGAATAGCAACTGGGTTTCTGGCAAAAAGAGACCAGGGGAAAAGATAAAAAGGATGATGACAGTGGCTGATTGGGGGACCTGGGGGAGAAGGGTCATGTGAAGATGCAGTTTCTAGCAAATCCTTATAAAATCTCCGATAAATTGAGTTAGACAAAAGGCAGGTTTCTTTCAGCTTGTTGCTCATACAGACATAATGAAAACAGACTGAACTAAGTGTAGAACACAGTGAGCTTAAAGAGTAAAGAACATGAGATGTACTGTATGTCTTTCCTGCCCCGGGTAAGAAGAATGTAGATGAAAACAGTTTTATCAGCCAGCTATTTGTCAGTTCATACTGCACATGCTGGCCAATAGGATCTCAAAAGAATTAGAAAGCAAATTTCGTATTTTCTGAGCCTCACTTCATGACTTAGTAGCTTAGATACACACTATTTCAATTATTTTATTTTCAAAAGCTAGCAAATGGAAGTATTGAAGCCTTTCACAGTTTGGCCCAATGTTCATTTTGGAGGATTTGGAATAAGCAAATAAATTGGGTTGAATGTAGCAGGCACAAGACAAAGGATTTTGGCTGGAAGCAGCATGAGTTTGAGTTTAGGTTTCTGAATGAAACAGTGTATGCTTCTTTCGAGAAATTCATCACAAAGCAGTAGGTGAGGATAAACAGCCGGGCACAGTGTTTACATAGATCTCCATTAAAGATCTTAACAATCGGCGACTAATAAACCCATCTCAGCTTCAGCGCTCCAGTCAGTATCTGCTGACCTTGAATTGCACACACGCTTACTCTCAAATCATCCATCATCTTCGCATCGCCATTTACCAATACGGCCCCCCTGCCAGGAAACAATAATAGTGCTCGTGTGTTTCGACCTTTTTTTTTTTTTAAACTCGCTGGCGCACACCGGTGATGAAATCTCCATCGCCATCTGTAATAAGGATAATGCTGAGCTGGCGTCAGGACTCAACCGGGGATTAATAACGTCTACACTATAGTCAGGATAGAGAAGAGAGGTGTGCGTGAAGAGGGGTGGGGGAGCTAAGTAATTAATACTTGATGATGACAAATGGAGGTGGACGGCAGGGCAAGTGGAGGGAGGAACGCTTGGCTAATGAACAAAGGGACGACTGTATGCTAACTTGGCACTAAGGAAGTGATTCGACAGAATGCTGCACTACAGGGACGGATGGGAGAGCATTGTCATTCTCAGGTGGGAAGAGGTGTCGCACAGAGTTAAGCTGAGACTGTTGGGATTCACAGGAGTTCAGCAGGGAGGATGAACCGGGAGGAGGGACTTGTCGGGGAGTTGTCAGACTAGTGCTTTCTGGCACGTGTGCGAGAATAACAAGCATGTTAGGGAAATATTGTTGCACAGCAGATGCTTGTGCACACAACCCACATGCAAGATAAGTATTAAGCAACATACAGTACACAAACACAAAAAGGAACTACTGGCAATTATTTCAAGTGAAATAAAGGAATGGTTTTCAATTCAGCAGCAGAGTTTTAATTGGGATCGAAATGCAAACAAGACTTTCCAAAAACAAGATTCTTTTCAGTTTTTAATTGAAATAATGGCGAAAGCTTACAAGAACTTCCAAATGTGTTGTGTTGCATTGTAGCTGCATCATAAACATTATTAAACAGTTGTTGTGTAGTTGTTTGTCAGGGTTACGCAAGGGCAGGTTAGGGTTAGGATAATCACAATTTTGTAAGGCCTAAATTGTGACATATAACACCAGATGTCATTATACCTGTTGTGGTGAGACATGCTTAATGTACATCCACGCTTTAAATGTGAAAGGAACTGGCATCTGTGAACCAGAGGAACCCGACAGTAGGTGCTTCTTTGCCCTGTCGGATGAAAGGTTGCCAGGTTTTGCTCCGTTCCCTGCACTTCTGCGATGTTTGGCGGTGTAGCCGAGGGCCTCTTTAGTGCTGCCAGGCCACCTCAAGCCTTTCCAGGTGCCTTTGTGAAGCACAGATCAAAGGGGGGACAGGAGCAAGGGATGAAGGGAAGAGGAGACGGGGGCTGGACGGGCTCCAAGTGGCTGAGAGGTACTGGTGCTATAGGGGGATTAGAGGGAAAGAGAGAACAACGCTCTAATGGGAAGAAGAGAGAAATGGTAAGTTAGGCCTTGTTTACACTGAGACTCAAGGGGAAACACTTTTGATAACCATTGAGAGACGGGAAGTCCAGGAAATAAATCTGCTCTCCTGACTACTTTTTAGTGTGGCCAGATGAAACTCATCTCTCTCTCCCCTCGCCCTTGCGATGCCGTAAGGGGCCCTAGACAATCTGATTAGGGTGTCTTCCATCTGCCGGCAAACAGTAACAAGCAAGCACACACTCACATAAATGCCTTGTTGAGACATTGAAGCCGAGAGGAGGCGATCATAAGACTGGCTGACCCACAAACTCCCGCTGAGGTCCCTATGACGATGATGATGTAGCAGTACAGCTTTTCCTTTTTATCACTACGCAGTCAGTGTTTGTCTCTGTGAACAACCCTTTGTGAGTCTACGTTTTATGCGCGCATTCCACACTGCCGTTATCAAAGGCCCTGGTGACCCATTTTTAGGCGAGTTTTTCGTACCGACTTGATCCAGAGGCTTGTTAGTCTGGGTGTGTGGCATATTTTACGTCGTTGCATCTGGCCCTTCAGGACCCCACAAGTTGCAAAAGGGGATAAAGTTTTTGAATTGCTTTCCGATAAACATATTCTTGATCAACAATGTCCCTTTGAAGCTGTGTCATCATCGCCAAAGCAGATTAGGTCGGGTTTGCTTTAATACTTTCTGTCATTGACATACTCCTCTCTTTATCTGTCCCGCATCTGTCCTCCCCTCCCTCCTCATCTCCCCATCTCTCCTCCTTTTATCATCCTCTCCTGCTATTCCTTCCTCTCTCTTCGATTTCCACGTCTCTTCTTTCCTCTTTGTAACTACCGTGGCTTTTACCAATTTGTTCCCTCTTCCCCTCACCACTGCACTTTCTTTTCATCTTCTTCCTCCTCCATACCTATCATTCCACACTTTCTGTGTGACATTTATTTTCCTCCTGCATTCTTTGCCTCACTCTATTTCTGTGTATTCTTTCCCTTGATTCCTCCATCTAATCCTCCATCTTTCCCCTGCAGCGTTTGGCCAACTCCAAAGCCCACACGTCACGCTTCATCAGTGCCAACCTTCCCTGTAACAAGTTCAAGAATCGGCTGGTCAACATCATGCCCTACGAGACCACGCGCGTCTGCCTGCAGCCAATCAGAGGCCTGGAAGGATCTGACTACATCAATTCCAGCTTCATTGACGGATACAGGTAGGAAGAGGGGAGAGATGGCAGGAAATGTGCCAGCAGGAGGCGTGTGTGAGGTGATTCCCTGGAAACATCTTTATTAATTCAAGACATAAATTTAACATCTTCCTCTCTGAGAAGTTAGACTCACATTTGTGAAGAGACGGCACAGCATATAAGGGAAATGGGGATATGATTTAGATTAATTATACAAGCTAAACATGAATGGTTTCACTGTATACAGGCAACAGAAGGCTTACATCGCCACGCAGGGCCCTCTTGCAGAGACTACGGAAGACTTCTGGAGAATGCTCTGGGAGAACAACTCTACCATTGTCGTCATGTTGACCAAACTGAGAGAGATGGGACGGGTAGGACATAAACACACATGGACACAAACATTTGATCATGTTATTTCTTCATCTTTATTTGTGGAAGGTTTAAAGGAGTCGAAAGAAAAGAAGTCATGATTAAATCATCATAACATAAATAACCATTATGCAACCATTTTTGCATAAACAGGAAAAGTGTCACCAGTACTGGCCGGCGGAGCGCTCTGCCAGGTACCAGTACTTTGTGGTTGATCCCATGGCGGAGTACAACATGCCCCAGTACATCCTCCGAGAGTTCAAAGTCACAGACGCCAGGGTAAGACATACCTGGGAGTGTTGGACGTGGATTGAGTCGGTTGCGAGGCGGGAACAAGCAACACATTTAGACCAACAAAGTCAAAGACAGGTTTTAACAAACATAGTAGTTACAGCCTTTTGTTTCTTTAAGTTGGGGAGTTACACATGTGTTGCTGGGTAACTTCTGTTGTTTGGTTGTGTAGATATAACAAGTCAAACACTTGACACTGTGATTTAGAGGTTTTTTTTAATATTTTTATATTGAATTGTTGTCAGCAAACTTAAACATCAGTCATGAATATTAATCTTTCAAGGTCAGTCCCTCGGAGGGGCACGAGGGGCTCTTTATAGATTCTCCATTTCATACTGACATTCAATAGCAACACTGAACCAGCGTGTTGTTCATGAATAATCATATATAATACAAAGACACCACTTTCTCTGTCGGCTCATAAGACCAGAATGCAATTCAGTACCAAATTATGCTTTAATTTCCACAATTGCACCGGCTGACCCATCCTTCACTGGAGTGTGGGAAATGTAGGAGACTAAGCAGGTTAAGGAAATGTAGGTCACATAAACACAGAATCATCACAAGTATTGTTTTCATCAAAGGTCCCTTTGGCTCTGATATTGTAATGTTCCTCTGTAGTTAGATAGGTTTCCACACAAAGCAAGATGTCTCATATATGTCTCATATGTTCTCATATTAATGAGAATTCACAACCAACGTGACTTTTCTTGCCCTGAACTGTTTATTGCCTACTTCATACTACTGCGGTTATCATTTTACCTCAGGATTTCTTTTTTGGGTCCAATTTGGTCGGACATTTTGAAACAGCAGCGGAACTGTAGCGCAGAAATAAAACGGCTTCCTCTTGTTGTCAAACAGGCTGACACATCCACTGATTTCCCAGGCGGTGTGGCAGCTAGTTAGCAGTCATCCTGTTGGTATTAAAAAAAGTATCTCCACACACACACACACACACACACACACACACACACACATATACAGTACACAAACTGACACACAGTGTGGAAATTAGACATAAATGCGGTTTAAGCTGCTATTTTTTATACTTTTTATTTTAATTTTTTTAACACACAAGGACATATACATTCAAAGCACACACACATTTTTACAGTGTGTACGTTTTAACCCCCCCCCCAAACACCAAACATGCAAACATTTTGTCTAATGCACTGTCCGGGGTTCTTTCAGAGGACTGTCAAAGGGTGCTAAATCATCAAAGCAGCCAGCAAGACAGTCAAAGCTTATCATCAGAGTTAAGGATCAAAACAGAGAAGATGATATTAGAGATATGGTACATGGAGGTGTGAAAGAAGAAAGCGTTGTGTTGTCGGTTTTTAAACTCCATATTACTGATTTTGTATGCATGCGTGCGTGTGTGTGTGTGTGTTCGCATGTACATTGCACGCCTCTGCGCAGTAATAGCATAGACTCTACGCCTCAACACTCGCATCTAGCGAGCCAGTCACGTATTTAATCACACAATTTGACACGCCGCGTGGGCCCTCAGGTTGTGTGTTAAATTTTCCTCTCTTTTTTTTCCTCTCTTTCTTCGGCGTGCTCGGTTTATTGTGTTGTTGTCTTTGCCCCTCTTTCACTTTTAATCCAACCGCTGAGGCAAAATGTTTCAAGATGAAAAACAAAGGCAAGGCAAGAAAGACAACATGCAATGTGTCATAGAACAGGGACGACACGAGGTGTTGTACAAAGAGAGTCAGCATATGGCTTAGCTTACTAGAATCCAAATCAATGAATTTGTCAAGAACGATAAATGTACAAGAATACATCTTGCTGCATCAGTGCAGAAACATATCAACAGCTAAGACAGCAACACAGTGCATTCTGGCACACGGGTCATCACGACTTTGCGTGCGGAGCACAAAGATTCAATAGATTATGTAGATCCTTTGACATGTAGTAGCTGCAGACGTTCCATCTGCATTTAGCATGCTAGGGGGATGGTTAGCTCACGGCAAAAAATTAGAATTAATGAATGAATGAATAACCATGACAACATCCATGATGAACACTTAGTGTTATCTCAATTTGACGTATGCCATTTTTGACACGCTTGAAAAGTGAAGCCAACTAGCATTCTTTGTATTGGCCATCAGGATGCGACTCCTGTGGTTGCAAAAAAAGAAGGCCAATCATACAGACGTCTCTGAGGCAAATGCACCTACTTCACGTTTTTTTTATTATCTCAGTAAATGTGTTTTTTATGTGATGTTCATTTAGTAAATGATGGTCCTGTTTAGAGTAAGATAGACAACAAAGAAGGATATACTTAAGCATGTCTTTACCCTGTGATTGAAAGGTGTTTGTACGGCCGGTTTAGTATCAGAGGCAGCGTGGACAGAAGCCTGCAGCTCTTTACACACTGCTGTAGCGAATTAGATACACATTGATTGTTACCTTTCTGTCTGTTTACCAATTCACTGGCTCTGTGCAAAAAGGTAATTTGTGTATCATTATCAAGCTACTCAAACAAGTCCAGAAAATCTGCTGCAGGGGACATAATTCTGTTTTCACCACAAGTTTTAACCTGTTTCACGCAGTTCACATTCTTGCACGTTACATTGATTCTATAAACACAATTTAGACAAAATCACTTTTAACCTAATTTTAGAGTCTATAATTCGACCTCAACTAATAGCAGCATAATAAAATGGACAAATAGATCCCAGTTTAAATGAATATTCATCAAATTGTGCCTTTGTAGTGTGAACAAATGGGAAGGAAATGTGTGAGAACGATACGTCGTGTCTGAAGTGAAGTCCGTTGATGATGAGAAACATCTGGAGATATGCCCAACTCTTTGTTGCCTTAATCGCTTACTCTCGTGAGAAATGTATTCTCTCCAAGACAACTTTAAAAGAACTTTCTTTACAAGGACACACATATTGACGGTGCATTCTCTGACTTGATGATCAGCTCTCTCAAAATAAAACCGATCAATTCCCTTCTCTGGTGCGATGCCACCTGATTGTAAAAACGTATCTAAATGTTTTGTTTGTATTGGAATCGAATGCAAGTGCACCAGTAACACAAGATTATAAGAATCAATAGAACATTAAATAGTTAAGATTGACATTTTGTCTAGCGGGCTTGTCAGCATGTCAAGCTTTTTGTTTTCAATTTTTATCGTCCAATCCCACCTCCTGCTCTGCTAGTCCTCCGTTCTTGCTTCTTACCTCCATCCATCAGGTCGCTCTATCGATCGCATCGCAGGATTATCCTATTCAACATGGTGTCTGGGAGAAGACACTTGTCATGGCAGATACACTATTGATTAGCTTTAACTCTAAGACCGACTCATGACACACACACACACACACACACCCACACGAAAACACAACGGGAGAAAATAGAGATTGGGCCGGTGGTAGAGGAGTGTGGTGGGAGAGGGGAGGATGCACTGTCCCTCTGTGGTGAGATGTGTGTATCATTGTACTTTTATTTTTCTGTACTGTGTTTACTGTTATTAAAAAAAAATCATCAACAAGTAAGATGTCACCGCATAGTAGATCTTTTATCTATGTTGTATCACCTGCATTATGTTTTTAATCCAAAAAGTGTAAAAGAAAAAAACCTTTATTTTCTCTGTGTTTGCAGGATGGCCAGTCAAGGACAGTAAGGCAGTTCCAGTTTACTGATTGGCCAGAGCAAGGTGTGCCCAAATCCGGAGAGGGATTCATTGATTTCATCGGCCAGGTGCATAAAACCAAGGAGCAGTTTGGACAGGATGGACCAATCTCTGTCCACTGCAGGTAACGGATCTCACTGTCATGTTGCATAGTCATTTCTCTAATGCACTTATTCTTTTAAATCATTTAATACGGTTTCTCTAAAAGAGGGCCGTGATATGCCATGTTTCTAGGCACTGCAACTTAACGCCTGAAATTGCAAAGACAGACAAGATTTAATATATTCTTAAATTGGTTATTGTTTTTGCAGCGCGGCAACTCCTGCGGTGCAGCTCTAACAGCATCACAAAATACAATCCCTCCTCACCTTTCTGCCACCGCATTACGCTACCTCTGCACCCCCACAGGCCCATGTCCTCCATAATTGATAAGGCTGTGATGTGGCTCGGCATTTGCAAAGAGGAGGCACATGAAATGATATAGCCATTCTGTTTGGTTTTTATGATAGCGCCGTGATGCATTTTTATCACTGTTGGCTGTAGCTTCCAAGGAAACCTTCATCATTAACTTGGCATGCTGGATTCAGGAAGAAACCGATATTTGGTAGTGGTCAACACCACGGCCTTGGGTTTTTCTTATTCAGCGATAGACCTTGAGTGGGATCTGAATGAGTTGTTGCCTTTTATTGCCAGACAATGGACATCTTTAAAAGGCTTGTTTTTGTATGCTCTGCAAGACGAGTAAAGAAAAAATGTCGATAAATTCCTTTAATAAAGGCACGCACCTGTATGTGATCCATTGTTCGTGGGTTCTCATGGTTTGGCATTCAGAAAAAGCTTTTTAAGACAACACTTATTGTTATGAATGTGGTAGTGTTTACCGACATGTTAACACGTTGAATAACTTCCTTGCTGTCTCATAAACACAGTTTACTTTTGTGACGGATTAGGTGTCACTTTTCTCCACATTTCTGCCGCAAAGGCGCCATGATATCATGAAACATGACATCACCTCCTCTGTATTAAAAAGCAATGATGTCACCGGCAGTGAAATGACCCCTTGGGAATTGTAGGATGTGTCAGGGAAGCTCCAATAAGACTGATTTATTCCTCCCTTCTATGAGTCCTAAGAGTTATTGTAGGGGGAGAGAGCGAAAGGATCGGTTATTGCAGGAGCAATTGTAGGACACGAATATTAAACTGGTCTGCAAGAGCCCCATGACTATGTTGGATTCAGCTGCCAAATGCATAGTTAAGGCATCCTTGACACATCTCAGTGAACCCTGTTAGATTTTTTTAAGCACCATAAGAGGATTAATGCAAAAACGCCTTCAGCCTAGAGTGTAGTAAATCATTAAAATTGTGTGCCGTTAATTGGGTACTTAAGTCACCTGCAGTCTTTTGCAGTAATTTTGTACTTTTATTGTGTCACTGTCTAAAGGCGGATATATCTAATTTTGGAAAGAAGTTTCTCTTGAACAGTGAAAAAAAAAGAATCAGGCTTTAGGTTTCTTTGTCTTGTCACCAACATGGCCACCTCCTGCTCCTTCCTATCATCCTCTTCCTCCCTCCTCCCTCCTTCAGGCTTTTCATCTCCGAGTGGAGAGCTTATGCCTTCCTTTTCTCTTACTCTTTCGTCTTCTGTCACCGGCCTTTCCCGTCTGTCATCCCTCTGTTTATTTCTTAATCTTCTCTCTCACTCTCTCTGTCTCTCTTTTCCTCTCCACCCATCCATCCATTTCCCCCGGCCCTCCTTTCTCCCACTCCCACCCTCTTTTCTTCTTCCTTCTCCTCTCCCCTCCTCAGCCACTATCTAATAGACCCACATGCTTTTTGTCATTAATTGCCTGATTACTTCCTGTGAATGGGGACACCAAATCCTCTCAGTCTGCAACGGCTCGGCGAGCCTTCAGATTTGGAGAGTTGATCTTTCGAGAGAGAGAGAGAGAGAGAGAGAGGAGCTCTGAGTGAGTTTAAGAGTCCATGTGACAAGCTGTGACCGACTCCCAGGAAGAGGCTTTGGGTGGGCTGAGAGATACTGCGGCGTGGGAGGGTTGGTCGTATGTTCTGCATGATATAGCTCAATACCTACTGTGTTCGATATTCATTTATAGTTAAATAATACAAGTCATCTTTTGTCCTATGTCTAGCTTTGTCCCCCAACAGACATATACTTGTGGGCATGCACACACACACACACATACACACACAAACCAAAAGCTAGCAGCTCTAGCTTTCATTCTTCACTCAACAAAATTGCTTTGGAGGTTGGAAGGAGCCCAAATAAATCTGTTGTCATATCAATTATTGTTCCATTGGTGAAGTGGAAGTCATTTCACAGCAAAGCAGCTTAGAGAGGCAGCTCTCAAGTATTTCAGGATCCGAGTTAAGACGCGGTATTTCTGGAGAGCAGCAGCAGCAGCAGGCTGGGTTTTTCGACACATGGGAGGGGCTTAATGAGACAAAATGTTTGCTTGGTTGTTTGTGTGCCCGATTTAGAGTGCGTCTGTGTGTCCTTGAGGGCTCTTTTTGTGTTCGGCGAGAAGTCAAAGTGGATTCACACATGCAGATTGCGTCCTTGCCATCACCGCTGTTGTGTTACCCTGCCGCAGGATTTCTGGCCATCAAAGTTTTAGAACGGTTAACTCTGTGAGGCAGTCAGAGCTGCAAACGTGCAGTGCTTTACAACTAAATCCTGTTGTTGTTTAAAGATCATTTTGCAGGTCTCGGTTTGACTAATATAGAGTCACAAATTCTAACAAAACATACGTAATATGGGACTAGAGAAGAACAGAAAGCACGAATAAAGATTCACCAATTAGTCCAGACATATCTATTACCTCCTTATTCATTTACAATGTCGTTATGTGTTTCCAGTGCTGGCGTGGGCAGGACCGGAGTCTTCATCACCCTCAGTATCGTCCTGGAGCGAATGCGCTATGAAGGCGTGGTTGATATCTTCCAGACAGTGAAGATGCTCCGGACACAGAGGCCAGCCATGGTCCAGACTGAGGTCAGTGTTCACACACACACACACACACACACACTGAAAAAAAAAACATACACGGCTTCTAATTTTGGGGATAACGTAATTGTACTACAGTTTAATGTAGTTTGGAGACTAAGTGCCATAGATAAGTTAAAAGACCTGCAGCAAGTAAGTTAAACTGGACTCAGTTCATTTATTTTAAATTGAACCTCATTATTTTGCAAACTCTTTAAACTAAAGGTGAGATTTAATGCCTCTGCGCCAGCGACAGCCGCGGCCAGAGGTATAATGTTTTCAGACTGTCCATCTGTCTGATCACACGTCTGTCCGGTCTGTTCCTGTGAACGTGATATCTCAGGAACACCAGGCGGGAATATCTTCAAATTTGGCAAAAGGCTTCCATTTGTACTCGAGGACGAACTGAATATAATTTGGTGGTCAAAGGTCACTGTGACCTCACAAAACCAGATTTTGGTCATAACTCAAGAATCCATATGCTAATTCTGAGAATTTCAAATAAATGTCTAAGAGAATATAAGTGATGACATTTTATCAATATAAGTGATGACATTCATGGATGTAATTTATGGCAGAGGCATACAGCCACGAGGCGGTAATTCAAAATTTTCTGATGCATTTTTTCTTGCATGTTTGTGTTTCTTTCCAACAGGACGAGTACCAATTCTGCTATCACGCAGCTCTGGAGTACTTAGGAAGCTTTGATCACTATGCAACGTAAAAAGCCATCTCTTCCCCCCAGAATCCTGTCGCCGCCCCC